CCTAAATTAAGAAGTATATCGTGATATAAATTTTGGCCATATCATCCAGCCCTGGTATCACATTTTATACTTATTTTCATAACACTTTATAACAGTACAAGTTTTCTGTAAAAACATCAGAAAATGGTTTAATTTAAATGTAATTATTGCATTTAAGAACACTGAAAGTGATCAAAAAAAGAATAAAAAGGAGTTAAACAAATCTTATTTAATTATTTAAAATGCTTTTTAAAGAGACCTTGTCCTCTGGTGTGACATCTTTGTCCTATGGTGTGACGTACTATTGGCGTCACACCGGTGGACATTTTCTGTCACACCAAAGGACTTTTCAGCCTTTTTGTGTCAATTAATGACCTTGTTATTCTAAGCTAACCTGTCATTAGCAGTTTGCAAGACACATTTGCATAATTTTCCATGATTATGTAGTTTAATTAAAAAATATAATTTAGGGGTGTCACACCAAAAGACAACAAAAAGTAACACTTTTGTAGTGGTTCCAAAAAAGTTAAATATTTGAACAATTCTGAAACAAAAATTGACCATGTGCTTATGTCATGGGCTTGACAGGAGGCTACAGTAACATGATAATGAATGGGGTCCTTCAACTCATTTTTCTCTTTTCAACAAAGTTTTCTCTGGAATTAGCCAATTTAAAATCAGGATATGGAGGACATGGTTTTCAGAGACAAAATATATCAAGTTCCTACGTTTTCAGAAATGTATGGATAAAAAAAATGATTGCCATTTACTAAAATAGACACTTGTGGCGGAGGTATTTATAACCATTTTTATGCTTTTCTTTTTAATTTATAAAAGTTGTAATTTATTGAACCATGCTTGAGACAGTCACACCATAGGACAATTTTTAGATTTGGCTCAAAAATGTAAAAAAAAAATCGAATAACACTGCAGATTTTATAACAACAGGTCCATCTAGGACAAAGAAATGTTTATTGATTTACTGCATTTTAAATAACTACAATATTAATTATATTCATTTTTATCTTGTGGGACAGTGAAAATGCCATGTCATGTCAACAACCCACATAATGTCACACTTCTCTAGTAAGTTTCATCTGTGTGTGAAGACAGTGGCGTTGCGCAAATCTATGAATGAATGTTCTGAAGTGAAATAAACTTCAACGGAATAAAGTTGAATGGAATTGAACTGAAATAAAGTTAAATAAATTTTACAACTTTACTGTTCAGTGCACTGATGTCAGACTCATATTGGATAATAAAGTGTATTGTTAAATACCCTGTGCCTCCATTACATATCATATTACCCTGCCTAAATTACATGATCATTGGAAAAACTGTGTTTATGTGTATATATATTATGTTTATGTATATACTGCATTCTATATATAGTACCAGTCAAAAGTTTGGACACACAAATGGGAAAGTGTCCAAACTTTTTACTGGTACTGTCGGTGCTTAATTTGTAAATGAAACATTGCCGGATCCAAATCAGTCGTTAAAAGGCGCCATGACCGACACTGACAATACAACTTCAGTTTTCCCGGAACATTCAGTGATGTCACTAAACAGTGATGACAACTATAGGAGCATCGTTCACAAGTTTTTGCATGGCCCTAACTATACAGCCTAGGTTTTCAAACCCTGTGTCAAAAATGGGTCGCCAGGATGATTTAAGGCAAATATATGTAAGTTACATTAAAAATAAAATTTGTTTCCATAAAAATAAAATACAATCATAATCTATATAGAAAAGGTATAAATATGCTAAATATATCTGACATAAATAATTAACAGATATAAAAAACACAAATGTTCTTTTTATTGCGAGTGTGCAAAAAAAAAAAAAAAAAAGGGACATTTTTTAGTGCACAAGATATTGGTTTCGGTACAAAAAGTTATGTTAAAATAAAATATTAATCTCTCACACAAAAGTATTACATTTTATTTTAAATGACAAAAGCATTTCAATTAAGATATACATCATTAAATGCAAAAAGTCCGGCTGTGCTTAATGGGTACATGTGCACATCCCTGTTCCCATTAAGCTCACATCATGTTTTATTAAAGTTTCTTGTTTATTTTAAACAACCTTTATAAAGAATAATTGAAAAATATAGCATTCAATTTGATCGGTTATATAATGAAGTGTCATTTAATCACATTGCAACATCTAGACTAGTCCATGTTCAGCTAAGTAACACATTCAAAAATCAAATAAAACAAACCAATAAAACATTTCATTCACGGGGATAAACACAGAAATTAGCCTCATTATGAAGCCTCTTATTAAATGGATGTCAACTTATCTATAGTCTCTTAAGGCTGGAATACACTACATGATTTTAGCCCCGATTTTCCACTGATTTACAGTCTGGAGAAGCTGACGCTAGTTGCCAAAGGTCAGAGCCAGTCTGTAGATTTGAGCTGACAGAATCCATAGAAAATCGATTAACTTTACATATTAACTGATGCTTGTCACTTTAAGTTAAGTATGTTTATGAAGTATTTACATAGACGTTCAATGTGGAAGAGCTTAAAGAGCGCACACTGAGCTTAATTGGAGCAGCAAAAATGTAATACATTTCATATATATTAAATATATTAAAATGACAAGATTTTGCAAAATAAATAATCTAGGTCATGTATTAACTTCATACATATTTTATTATGAACAACTACTATTAACAATATCTATTAAATTATACTTTTTCTTACTGATGTCACACTGAAGCTGTGTGATTTTCATAGTAGTGTAGCCTTTAAGCTCACCTTAAAATAATATGAAATCTTTAAAAATTACAGCACTGTAAAACCACAGACCAGCAATAAATTGTCAATTTATAATATTATGGGTTTAAAAGTACAAGCCAATAATGCCTGTGAAGTAATATATTAGCGTAACACACAATCTTATACAGCTAGTCAGCTAACTGTGTTCTGTAGCATCTGCGCCGTGTTGCTAAAACTATCTTTTGGATCTAACTGTAATTATTTCAAACATCCAAGTTCCAGGTTATAATGTACAAAAGTATAAACATTAATCCCTTAATTTTACAATAAGTAGTGAAACTTACCCAAAATAAAGGCTTAAATATATAAAAAATGCACATTTAAGGGGCTCCTCTTTTGGTGAAAGTTTTCAGACAGCTTTCAAAATGGCGGCCAGACAGTGTGAACACATGGAGACCCATATCTCAGTGTGCAATCATCTGATTGATTTGAAATTACAGGAGGTATGTAGTAACAAACACATCAATTTCTTAAGACATCAAGTATGATAATACATTATTTTTTCTTTTTATAATCTGATCTCAAATATGGAAGTGTGCTTAATGGGTACGTGAGCTTAATAGGTACGTTTACCCTAGGCCTAATAAATAAAAAGAAAACAGAATAGAAAGTGTTAGAGGCCTTTTTTGCTTTTGTTAATTGTATAATAAATCAAAAGAAAAGAAATAGAGAAGCTAGTGTTAGTTATTTTTTTATTTATTATTTTTTTATAAACACTTTGCATTGTCTTACTCTTATCTGTATGACCAAAAATGGAGTATTTAATGTGTCAGCAGTTTGATCACTCCGGTGCCTCGCACACACACAACGCGCGCCACATATTCTAGCAATTCACACTTGCCATCGCAGTCTGTTCATTATCAAAATAAAATACAGTCAGCCAAACATATCAATTTAAAGAGTCCGTAGTATAACCGGTATACAGCTGCTGTTATGCCAAGCGCATTTTTGCGTATATGAAGAGGATGATTTTTTCCGTCGATATGCGAATGCGCATGAAGCCTAGTCTACACTATAAATAATAGTTTAACATTGAAATACATTGCGAATATGGAAACATTGGATTTGTGCCAATGAGAGAGGTACGTGAGCCCAACGGTACTTTCAGTTTCGCTTTGTTTTGGTTTCATTAGCTTTATATCTTTTTCATTCTTGATCTGTTCTGCAAACCTTGACATTTAAATGATTTGTTTTGGAGTGAGGGGAATTAGGCTATGATTATAGTGTTTATATATTATAATATTTAACTTTATTTGGTATTATTTCTGGTACTAATACACTCTCTCCAAACGTTCCACTGCTCACAAAAGAGTGGAGAGAGTGGGTTAAGCAGTAGCACCAATCAACGAGAGCGATTTTGACCTTAAGAAAGTGTAATAATAATAATATAATATAATATAAAAAATAATATGTTGAGGACCAATACATAATCTACAAATCATGTTCCAAATACATCTACATAAACCCGCAATCGCTCTGTCTCGTATGCACGCACACACTGTCACGATCTAATGCATTTGTTAATGCCAGATCTTTAAAAACAAATACCGGGAATGCAAAAATCCAAAATCTGACATTTTCCGGAACAGGATCCGGCTCAAATTAAGCACTGGGTACTGTACTATAATATAGCCTACACAAAGAATATCGGCCGATATATCGATATTGGCCTTTTTTAACTCCCTAATATCGGTATCGGCCCTCAAAAAACCCATATCGGTCGGGCTCTATTCCTGTCGGTACATGCCATTGTCATTTAGAGCTTACGAGCCCCGCCTATTTGCGAGGTCCAGCCTACTTGCGTCGTAAGTCCCTCCCACTTGCGTAGATTAGAAAGTGTAACAGTGCGGCGTTTTGACTTTGAATAAATATCATATTAAACCATATCTCGATTCCTGTTTTTCATTCCCCAAAATGAATACCTCTTGATGATAATTGGAATTTATACAATTTAAGATATTGAAGACTCTTATTACTTTACATTTTAATTTGAAACGGAATTTAACACTTTTTAAGGACCCGCGTGGACCCTGAAAACCTCATCCCAAACACAACTGCAATGCTAAATTATGGTTAAAGAAGTTGCAGCTCCCACAAGTGTGCTCGACCACTCCATGCTAGGTTCTTAAACCAGACCTTAGGTTTGAAGAACACATTTTAGCGTCCATTTTCAATATAATAACACATTTTAAAAAGTATTCATTTAAAGTTAGATTTTAAAAACCAACCTTGTACACTTGACCATATGTGCCATTTCCAACCACTTCGACCAGTTCAAAAATCCCGGCTGGGTCCTAGAGAGAAACAAAAGGAAAGTATAAAAACCGAGAAACTATGTCAATGTACATTAAAATAAAACAAACGATGGATTTAACAATAAAGCTCTCCTGGCTGTGTATTTAACACGCATGCTAGTGGAGTTCAAACAAAGGAAAGATCGAAACTCTTAAACGATGGCCATTCCACAAAAAAATATATATTATGATTTTAACGCTTTCTCTCGTTTAAACAAAGACTGCGATACGTTCCAAGATTCTGAAATCATCTGTATCTACTGCAAAACACAATGAAAACAAGCTAACGTAGTCGGTACAGGCTACTCACCCGTAGTGAAGAAAGGTCTATGTCTACTAGACTTTTCGCTGGAGAGTCGTTCGCCATCTTTCATTTGTATAAATAATGTTTGTTGTAACAGGACTCTTCACTCCGCTGTACACCGTCGCCCGTAACTACCTGTGTCCGTTTTGTTTACTGTAGCAACATTTCTCTAGTGCAGGACACACGTTATTAATTCATTTTGCGTTAGAGGGGATTTGAGCAGTAGCTCCCTGTGTCCTGCAGAGATGTCCGACTCGCCAGTGAATCGTTTTAGATGGTTCTTTTTTAGGACTCGGTGGAACCGATCGCAAACCGTGTCTAAATTACTCCACTGTAAACTAGCTTACATTACTTTGTTTTGTAGTTCAACTGTGAAGTGGGAACCATTTTGTTTATATTGGTAATAATTCAAAATAATACTGTTCATATTCAACATTACTGATGTGTATTTTATTCATAATAATGGAATCATTACTGCTAACAGTTGTTAACAATGGTGTCGGGAAAAATAAACAACAGTCTTGGACTCAATCTTACCAACAAAATAAAAGTAAAATTTAAGTAAAATTGGTTTATTGTTTAGATTTTTTCCCTTATGAATTTGTTTGGTGCAGCATTCTATATGTATATAGGTATGTTTGGGCTGTTATAAATGTTTAAAAAAAAATCATTTATATATTATAGAGTTGTTTGGGGTGGGGATAAATTAAAGCGATCTGCGATGACGTCACAATCGTGTTGCATTGTGGTCTATGAAGCGGCCTGAAGTGTGCATATAACTATGGTTTTTACCACAGCCAGAGATAGATTTTAGCCTCCTAGAACTGATGAGAGATGAATATGGGGGAAATTATAAGATATTTAATTCATACATCAGAGGAAATTATTACAGTTATTTACAGATTTATACCGATGGTTCTAAAGATCCTAAAACAGGCAAGTATGGGTATTTGGAGGCTTGTGAAACTTAGGGTGCTTTCACACTAGCACTTTTTTCAGGGCTGTATTGGTAATCGGGCATACCGGGCATTTTCCCGGTGGGCCGACGCACTGAAGGGGCCGACAGAATGTTTTTTTTTTGCCGAAAACCATCAGACTCGCAACGGAGGCAGACCTATCCTACATGTGTGTGCGCGGCTGCGCGCCATGAGTGTATGCGTAAACACTTTTTAATAAAACGTAAATTCGTCCCCCGCGAT